TTTGAATTGGCCAGGCCCAAGCGTGACTTTCAGTCACAATATATTGCTCGCTCCTGCTCTGGAAGCCTTATCACTGTTCTTAATATGAACTAATCTCTCTAAAAGTGCCTCTGTTCTTCAGATTACAAAATATTCCCCCAACTGGAGCATCCACCTGCGTTTATTTTTCCATTCCCCACCCCAGATATTGGGCTGTGAGAGTACAGGATCCTTTTGGGAGGAGAAAATCCAAAGCCAAGTTTGCGTTTCTAGAATGTAACTAGGCAAGAAAGAAAAAAAAATCATTTTATTTTTCTAAAAGTGAAAATATTTTAATTCCTCTTCTGGTTCTTAGTCTATCACCCATCTAGTTTTGCTTTAAAATAAATAAAATCAACAGAAGTCTTTTTTAAATGTGCATGGTAGCTGAATTCAGCCTTCTCCCAATCTTGCCCCTTCCAGGTCTGTGGGACTACACTTCCAATTATTTCCAAACATTATGGGCTGGCAGCAGTGGGAACTGGGGTCCAATACCTCTTGAAGGGCACCAGATTTCAGAAGGCTGTTCTGCACGTAGCTGTAAAAGCTTCACAGACCTTTTATGGTCCCACCAACTCCCTTGAATTTGCATTGCGTAAAAATAAATACCAAAGGGAAAACCCCGACGTGGCTGATTATGCGAACCTGTAAGATGTACTTGAACTTTGGTTTCATGCCCAAGAACCATGCCTGCTTTGTTTTTCAGCAAATTCCTTTTGAAAAATTGGGCTTGAGCATTGATACTTGGCATTTAAATGTATTTATTTGGTTTTTATTTATTTGTAAGATTTATAAACTGCCTTATACCAGACGCTGTATGGGAAAATGTCACCTCAAAGAGACCCTGTGGAAACTTTTAGGCACATACCTCATGTATTTCTTTGGTTTCCAGCCTGTTCATCTCCACAAAAAATAATCAAAATGGTGATCGTTGCAGCCTTTCCTGCCCTACAGCGTAACCTTAGTATTACATATATGAGGTAGGGGTGTGCAGAGAGCTGAATTCAAAGTACAAATTCTGTGTTTGGCGCACACACATAACACCTGTTGGAAACGTGTTAAAGCATTTGCATCTTGCTCTGGACTCACGTGGCTACCCACTGCAGCTGCCGTGTAATTACGGGAAATAAGTCATTTAGCGTAAGGTGACCCTGATGGGCTACACAAGCGCCTATGTGTGCTCTGAATTCAGATTTTGCCCTTTAACTCTGGAGATCTGCACAGTTGTAATATGAATTTGTGCATGCTAAGCTGGTGTAGTCTGTCATGGGGCTAGGTTTCTCCGGCTCAGTATGAAACATGACTCCCATCAGGGTGCTAAAGAAAACAGCTGATTTAAATAGGACAGTCTTATGAAAGGCAGAGTCAAAATTGGTGGGGGTGTTTCTATCTAGCTCAGTATTTTCTGCTGCCAGGAACATTTAAGGACAGAAGTGGGCTATCTTTTCCTCTGTGGTGCCACGGGCTGCAGGAGTCACCATGATGCGACATCTTTAGAGGGGCTGGCATTTTAGTCCTTTCCCCCCTTATTTTTTTGGCAAAGGTCACTGCTTTTTATAATACAACGGGCATGCCAAATCCATTGGAAATATAATACAAATATTTGACTTACTGTGCTGCTCCAATGAACTGGTAGTGCAGTTATGTCCCCCCACACTTGAGTGCCATGGGACACTAAAGATTGTCCTTAGGCTGCCCTAGGGTCTCTAGCAGAAAAACCCTGCTGCCCAGGGTTTGTTTAGCGGAAGATGCTGGACACTGATGGTCTTCTCCATGCCATGGATCTGTCTTGCATTTGATCTGTCACTCAGTATGTGGAGCTTCGTTGTATTCTACTCCCATCTCATCTGAAGGACAGTCCCTCCAATCTGAGACTTAACTAGAGATTGAAGTGGTGGCCACCTTGTGCAAAAACTTCTCAACTTTCCACTAAGCTGGGAAGATCTGGGTGACCACCAGATGACAGTGGTGAGTTACCACTTTTAAATTCTCTTTTCTGTCCACTAGTGGTCATCTGGATTTTTTGCAGATCTAGTACCTCTAAGCAGAAAAAAAAGCTTTTTTGCTGGTTATCTATAGCTCACTGCTACCTCTTTGGGAAAAACTCTTGGAGGTGAGAAGGAGCTTTCATTTCAGAGGTTTCTCAGATACCTCCTACTTTTCTTCAACTGAGACCTCTTCCCTGCAGGCCAAGTACTCTACTTGTCACATGCCCTCCTTAGTATTAAATGATACAAGAATTGGGACTCTCTTTGGATTTTGTAATAGCCATGAACACCTCCGTTAATCTCTGAAGTGGTCCCAATCTTGTTTTTGCTTGTACTTAAGCTGTACTTCTGAATTTCCACATCTTTCTTAAAAATTCATTCTGAATCCTGCATATTATTCATTCTCAATTAAAAAAGCTTCAGGCTGGGTAGAACGACAGTGCACTGTCTTTAAATTAAATAAATATAGATGAGAGATTTGAAGCAGAACATACAATAAGCTCAAAAACCAATTCAGGATTTTTTGGTAATGGGCTGACACTTTCTAATCAATTGCTCTTGAGAGTTGCTTGCTTACAAGCTGAGTACATTGTTAAATTGGTTTGCTAAGTCACTGGTAGAGATGAAAAGGAAAACCTAGTATTAAATATACGGAATCAGCAAGTTTGAAATCCTCCTGCCTGTAAACTTGAGTTTGGTTTACCACCAGGCATATGGCTGAGAACCTGACTTCTGCATTCATACTTAATGGAGTAAGTTCCAATATTTTAAAGTCAGTGATGTATTGCCAATTTACTCCAGTTCCTTCAAGTACATTAGGTTTAATGATATAAAATGTGAATTGGTTTGTTATCTCACCAACTCAGTCTCCCCTGCTGCAAAATAAAGAAAAAAATCAAGAATACAATGGAGGGTAGTTTGGGAAAAGTGAGGAACTAAGGAACTATGCCCCAGTCTCTCTTCCTTTCCTCAAATAGAAGCATGTCAGTTTGCGGGAAACCAGGGTGGAGAACCAGGGCTTGATCTGTGTTTTCTATAAATAATACTATTCAGAAAAAGGGGATTTTTCAGGAACCAATCTTAATCAGCCAAAGCAGTCTACAAAACTACAGTTGCTCTCTGATCTGAAAAGGCTTTCTGGAACCTGAGCTATGAAACTAAGTGAAGCTCTGTCAAATCTCATTTGACAACCTAAACCTCAGCCTGTTAAGCCTAAGCTGTTTGATCAGAACAGGGTGCCCTCTACCCCCCCAAAAAACTTTTTCACATCCCAGCATCTTAAGCAGAGAGACTTTGGGGGTTGGCAGAATGTTAAACTACGTAAAGAAATCACGCCTAAGGCAAACGGTTTGGATAAAGCAAAACTGTGCTATGTGTGAACTGTGTTACAACAGAGCTGTGCAGAAGTTCCTCCATTTTCCCACAGATCACCTGAATGAAACCTTGCTTAACCTGAGCTGGTAGGTAAGATCTATAGGTGCACTGCAAATTTTATAAAGTAGAAGATAAAACTTACCCAAACCCCTACTTCCCCCTCCCAGCTTGATTTTCTACTGTACTTTCCATGATACGGTGTGGTCACAGGGCTCGGTGATGTTCTTGCTCTCCTCCATGTTGAGGGGGCCAATGGGGTCTCAGACCCCCTCCCTTTGGCTTTCTGCCCACCCTGGAATAAAAACCTTTCACGCAGATTTGCCTAATTAAAAAGGAAAGTTTCTAAGGATAGTTGGAGCCCACCAGTGCAATCCCACAGCGATAAACATTTTCAAACTCTGCCAGTTTGCTGTGCAAATCAGTAAACTGAATAATAGCAACAAGAAAAGGTCTCTGGGGCCAGATATAAAAAGTGAACTCTGAGGCTGCCTTCAGCAGAGCGAGTCTGAAGTTGGCAGCAGCTCTGTTGTTCATCCTTCCTTCTGGTGCCCTTTTGATGTGTTGGAAATGCCCACCATCTCAAGTTTTGGTTTGGGGCTCTGATGTGTCCACCCAGAATATCAGGAGAGAGCCTGTTCAAGGAAGGCTGCTCTCTCCTTTTTATTGTCCAGAATTGGCTCAGGGGAGGGGAGGGAAGCCAGGAGCCTTCTCTCTGCAAAGTGGATGCTGCACCATTGAACTCCAAATGTGCCAGGGGGTCCATCTGACTTGTCCTGAGTCCAATCAGCAGAAGCTTTTCTAAGCCTCAAATCCTGCCCCCGCTGAGACCAGAGCAAATTAGAGGTGGGCAGGTCCCTCTGAAGTCCTGAAGCCGTTCTTTGTGCCCACCATCTCAAAATTATACAGCCAAATTTTGGTGGAAAACTATTGAGAAATGAAATTATAGTGATGGAGGGAATAGCCATCCCCCAAAGGGCACGTAAGTTTAGGCTTACCCAATATCACTCCCCATTGCTTCCCTCTCCTCCCCTCCAGGAATCCTACCTCTGTCCACTTTGGTGATGTCATTACTTGACCTATTGCAGTCTTTGGTTGCCCTGTCCCCTGGGATGTCTCCCAGTGTCTCCCAACTGCTAGGAACTTGTCCCCTCCATGTAAATAAAACTGTTTCCAAGAATTCAGTCTCTCTTCTGCTTGTTCCATGTGCATCTTCATTAGCCACAGGCTGTGCTGCTAAGTTATGACACCTCTGGCTAACATCAGAACAGCATCCTATCAGCTGAGACTTTGCTTCCTCTGGTCCAGCACTGTCTACTCTGTCTTCCAGAAGCCCCTCCAAGGTCAACGTGGCAAACTTTGTTGAGGATTCCAGGAACTGAATGCCTGCCCCCCAACTCTGCCTCCACCCAGCTATGGCTGTGCCTGATGGACATACGTGGCTAACTTAACAAGTCACACAATTTGGGCTATGCAGCCTGGTTACTAGCTGGCTGTGATGGATAATGAGCTTCAGGGTCCCCGGCAGAGAATTTGCAATGAAGGTTGCTTTACAGTGGATTCAGCCAGAAACAATCTGCTCTCCAGAATACGTGCTCCACCCTTCTGCTCAGCCTTCTCCTGTCTTCTCTTAGTTCAGCAGCTCCCGTTCTTTGAAGCTTCCTAGAAATTGTGCCTGGCTAGTCAGGTGTCAAAAGACTAGCGAAAGCTCAAGAAGTGTGCTCCTTCTAGGTCGCCCAAATCAGCAACAGGGTTTCACAGAACAGAAAGTAACAATCAGCACCTGCTGAACATGGACCCGTGAAGGCAACTTAGTACAACTGTGAATTAATTAACTCGGATCCCAAACATAACTAGTCCTGCCTGTTTGTCGGCTGTTGTGCCACCATCTTTCTCAGCCTGATGGCTTTTGCAATAGACAGGGATGAAGTGGGGACTTTCCACATGCAAACAAGGGTGACCAGCAACCCACGGCCCCTGGGATGAAAACTGATCTGGGGAAGGCAGGGAGAGCTAGAACAAAATGTCTCCCAACAAATAGTCTACTTCTCTCATTGTTTGGCTTTTTGCACCGGCATTCTTCACCAGGAACAGAGGAGTCCGTACAGAGTCCAGTTCGATTGCCCCACTCCATCACCTGTCCTCATTGGTCTCCCTGATTAGTGCCTTCAGGGCAGGGGGCAGCCGAGGAGCTTTGGGGGGTGGTCCAAGGGCCACCATGAGCTCGCTCTTCCGCACCAGGGCTTCCCTCAGCTGCTCCCGCATAACCTCAATTCTGCTCTCCAGCTCCTTCAACTCCTTCTGCTTGGCTTCCTTGCTGTCCTGCTGGGGGTCCTGGCCGTTCATGCAGTGCCAAACAACAGGGCCTTGTCTCTCATCTTCTGATGCCTCCTCTGGGGCGTTATCAATGTTAAAGTGCACCCGTTTGTCTTCCTTCTTCATCGCTGTGCAACGGAGGTTATTCCAGCCTGCCTGGCTGGGCAGCGGCTCGGGTTCATTTGGAGGCTGTTGAAGGTTGCATCTTTGGAGGAAGGTAGAGGGAAAGAATAAAGAGCAAAAAAGTCATGATGTCCCATTTTTTCTTTAAAAATGGAATTGCGACAATTTAACAATCCCTTTAAAAGTACTTGCACCTTTTTACAGGCACACACATATATGAAAATGTACAATGAATTCCAATCCTAAGCTCAGTAAAGATGCACAAACTTGGGAAAAATAACAGTAGAGACACAGACCATTTAGGATGAAAATATATAATTTATGAAACAGCCCAGGAATGGGCCTCCTGCAGCCCAAATGAGGCAGCTTGATCTTTTCTGCACCCCTTGGAGCCCCTCAAAACGTGCTTCTGTAAAGACCAACAAAAGGAGGCCATTTGCTAATTTTAGCAGGAAAACCCTGCGAAAAATGGGCCAAAAACTCAGGCCTGGTCCCTCTGTTGATTTATTTTTTCTTTGTCCCATCCCCATCGTCCTCAGCTGCCAAAAAAGAAAACAGATAAAATAGTGCATTCACCCCAGCCAGAAAAAGATTGCTTGGCAGGGGAGTCTGCAGAGGTGTGTGGTAACATCGTGATCAAAGTCCCACCCCCTTGTATGTGTGGGCCACAGCCAGCCAGCAGGGCCTTTACATGTCCATCTTGTGCACCCACTGCGTCCATTCGTGGAATGGGAGGCTCTGCTTGTGATCGCACATGCTTTGGTCACCTGCCAGTGGGACTATTACAATGTGCTGTACATAAGGCTGCTTTTGAAGAGCATTGGAACCTGCAGCTGGTCCAGAATGCAGCAATTTTAGGTGCACCAGGATATGTGTACAGGTAGTCCTCATTTAGTGACTGCAGTTGGGACTGGCATTAAGCAAAGTGGTCATTAAGTGAAAAATAATGTGACCACTACTGTGCTTATGATTTTACTTGCGCTTTCCTTTGCTTCACAGCATCAGAAGGATACAACCCTGAACAGCTAGGCAAGTCCAAATGGCAGGGCAGGTTTTCAGAACTCGACTCATGAGGAAGACGGTAAAAGGGCAAAACTTATAGCCCTTCTTCCCCATTCCCCTGCCCTTTGGAATGCTTACCACAGCGCTGGAATAATTACCAAGAAGGAAATTAATGTTTGAATGTTCGTTCACTGGAGAGGAACGGATTACAAGAGAGTAAGCAGGCTCTCTTGTGTAATGGGGAATACAGTACACATTGAAAGGAAAGTCAGTCACCAGCTGCTTAGGGGGGGGAAATCCTTTAGTGTGAAACTGATTAGGGTCTTGTCAGTTTCAGGCAGCAGCTGCCAGCCAGCCCTGGCTACTAATAGACTAATTAAGGTTACAGAGCTGAGCTTGTTAACTTGCAATTAGCACTTTTTAGGGACAGGCTGTGCTGTGGAGACAAGCAGCTCAGGAAGAGATGGCTTATTTAGGCAAACTGTGCTGCAAGGGTGGAGGAAAAAAAACAGCTCAGGTACAAGACAACTGACCTCACACAAGACAGAGAGACAGAGATGCTGCAAAGGTCATAAATGCAGGCACTGGTCACAAAGTTACTTTCTCATCACTGTCGTAACTGTGAACAGTTACTAAATGAGGACTACCTGTATGTAACACCTTTGCTTTGCAGGCTGCACTCACTTTCACTAGTCTTCTGAGTGCAAGTCAAGGTGCTGGTGGTAATCTACTTCTCTGTTGTGGTGCATGTCCTATAGAACAGCTCCCCCCTCCCCCCAAGATCTGGACAGCTCTGACCCAAAAAGCCTTAAAGATCTGGCTCTTCCCTCAGAGTTTTTGACTGTAAGACAGTTTTTAGGAGCCTCAGTTATATCGTAGTATTGTTGTTTTGATGAACTATTATTTTCAGTGTTTTTAGTGCTGTGAGTTGCCTAGAGTCACAAGCCTGAGGCGGATGGCTATATAAATTTTAGAAATAAGTAATCAATAATGTAATAAATAAAAAAGCTGCCCTCTTGGCCGGGGGGAGAAAAAGATGCTCTCCCATTTTGATTACAGAAAACTCCATAATCCTTGAAGTTTTTACAAGAGCCAGTTTGGTGTAGTGGTTAAAGCACCAGGCTAGAAACTAGTTGACTGGGGAATTCTGGGAGTTGAAGTCCACACATCTCAAAGTTGCTAAGGTTGGGAAACACTGGTCTAGACTATAGACCTGGGATTCCTGGAGGCCTCCCATCCAAGTATGAGCCAGGCCTGATGCTGTTTAGCTTTGGAGGTGGGGCAAGCCCTGGCCACTAAAACAGTTCAAATATTCAATTACACTGCTAACAAATCCATTCTTATCAGGAGGCAATAGAAATAAATGTATAATCAAATTCACATATTATTCAGACAAGCATAATGTGGAAAGGGTTGCCAAAACAGTTCAGAACAGCTGATGTGAAAAAAAATTACCTTTTCTCTAAATTCAACTTCTTGATCCTCTGTTCCTCCAGTCCCATGTTTAGAGCCCGGTGTATTTTCTGGATTAGGCACATAAAAACCACAAAAAAATAAAGGCCTCAGAAATTTGTAAGATGAAGAAAAATAACTGGGAAAAATAACTTCTCTGAGAATAATTGGGGGGAGGGTCCCAACTGCTCAAGTTTTATGATTATTCTTTGCTTTGGTCCACTGTCATTATTTCTCTCAAATTTTGCATCAGTTTTAGCATCCCATTTTTAGTTGGTTCTGCCTCTGTGTCACATCTCAGCAACAATTTATAAATACGTCCTAGAAAATGATCTTGGTTCTGCATATGCGTTTTGAACTCTGTCGTTTTTCTCAAAATCCCTCCTTCTTTTTTGAGATCCTAAAATCTCGAACACAAACAGAAGACTGTGGGAAGCCACAAAGCAGCTCGTGAGCTCAAGGAGTCACTGCTTTCTCTCAAAACCAACCAAGACCCTCCACCCTGTGCGACTGAGCCCACACAATGCATCTAATTGTATGCGTGTGTCCAAGATTATCCCTCACCTGGCTGGTATGGAGCCAATAATTGAATTTTTTCTTGCGCCGAATGTGAGGCAAGATGAGCCGGTAAAAGATGTGTTCTCCAAGGGAGGTGAGCAGAGAGCCACAGAGTCCAATGCAAAGGAGCACAAAGAGGCCGGAGAAGTGGTAGATCCCCATTTGCAGAGTCTGGAAGCGATGGGGAAAGAAGGAAGACAGGCAGGATTAACCCCACTTGGAATGTGCAAATTGGAAACACAGCTTCTCAAGCTCACTGGGGTGCATGTGTAAAACACTGCCCGCCTCCCAAAGTGAGGAGGAGGAGGCATGGCAAACCTCTCGGAATACTTGTGTGCATATCTATCTATCTATCTATCTATCTATCTATCTATCTATCTATCTATCTATCT